CCGGGCCCCTGGGCTACAAGAGCTATAGCAACTTCCCCCCTCCCTATCGTCGAGGCTGCTGTATTATAATATATATTGAAAGATAACATACGTGAATATATCGTACCTAACTATTTATGAAAGTTATGTAAGTAAACATATGTAAAATACGTATAACCATATCATGTTATCATGATCGGTGGACATATCATTGTATCAAAATAATGCTATTAATTAATCAGGTGAATTTCTGTAACCTTGTTATAGGTAAGCAACGTATTCGTCATTTATTCTTTGATTTGAAGTTTAATTTTTACACCAACAACGGCTTAAAGGTCTATATTGTATAACATTTATAAAATGATCAAGTGAAAAATTACACGTCATACTATACTTATATTAACACGAATAAATAATTATTTAAGAAGATAAACGATTTTGTTATTTTAGCTATAAACATAATTTTTAAAATATATAGTATTATATAGTCGTATAAAACACGTTTTAAAAACAACTTTCATTCAATGAGAATGTCAGAAGAAGAAAAAATAATTAATCGACAATAAAGTAATTCAACACACATACACAAATCATGAACTTTAATTAATTATTAGATTCATTAAATTATTGAAAGCTATTTGTATTTTATTAATGATTAATAAATGCACCTTCTAAAAATTGTTCACAACCTATTAATATAGAAACTATTTAAATGTACTATATATTTTAGCAATAATTGTTCGGTGTAAATATTAAAAAAAATTTTTTTTTAAACAATAAAAATCAAAAATAATTAACTCGTAATCGCTGCATTATTATTCAGGTACCAATATTTTTGTTAATAAGTATAAATTAAAAAAATTGAATTTTATAAAATTAAAAATATTCATTTATTTTTTCGTTTTATGAAATCAACAATTTTGGAACGGTTTTACCATTTAAGACGTGATTAAAACCTTGGTTATATTTATAGTTGATAATAAAAGTAAATGATAATGGAAAAAGTTGCAAAATTGTCAAGAAAAATCATATCCCATCTAAATTTATTTGAAACAGTCCGTGAAGCATGAATGCATTGACAGTATTTGTAAACGCCATTTAAATGGTTCTATCCAATTAAATCTGAATACGAAAACCAAAAACTGTGTACTGCTATTGCTACGATAAGCCTAATTAGCATTAAACAGGTGTTCGTTTTTCATTCACAATTTTAACATTGGGGTAGCACTGCAGACGGTCATTATAGTATAATAATGCCTTGACACCGTTTGCCATCGTAATATTAGGTATGTCTACGCGCTAACTGCTCGCGTTATTAGTCAATAAATATTAAACATAATGACTGACGGTAGATTAAATGGAATAGCTGTTCAATTATCTATTCATGAGCCAACAGGCGCGTATTACAGCACTACGGGCTTACATATATGTATAGAATACATGTAACATGTTTAAGAAAACGTGGGAAGACGGACATCTCAATGAATTCGTTATTCGCGGGGTAAAGGGAATAGAAAAAATAAGAATATAATACGGATCTTATTCATAAGTCATAGCCACTCATAGCGGATACACATACAAGTGTTACGACCGTGGTGTACCGACCGTGCATAATCTATTGACATTTTTCCCGGTCAGGATTTACAATATATTATGTTCGATGATGATTTTTTACGGTAAAACTTTTACTGCATTGTGTCATAACAATGCGACGTGCTCGGCGTTACACGCATCAGTACGAAACATGTTTATTTACAAAAAAAAATTAAGTACGAATCGCACATAATACGTTTGGATTCCAGCTGCAGAATACAGCCCGGTGTTACGTAAATTAAATCAACTACTCGGTGCTATGTATGTGTACTATGTATGTGTTATGTCGCTGTATACATAGCTGACAACGAGGAATCAACCGCCATCAATACGATATATGGACCGTTTTTATCAAAAATAAAATGTATATACTCGGATGACGTGAATAATATGTTTTGAAAGCATGATACATGTGTCAACATAATGAAACTAAACCGAACGATACCGATTGATTTTTTGAGAATTCTAAACGTCTACAACGTTAATGTACGAATGTGGCTAATACAGGATAATATATACATTCCGGCAGTATTAAAGTATTGCTACGAATGAATATGTTTTAATTTTTAGCGTTTTGTAGTGCGACAACGTGCTTCGAGTGATATTTTAACATCTCGAGTCAAATTAGAATATATTAGTAACTTTACGTGCACAGCAAATAACTGAGAAAATAAAATAAAGACGACGAAAAATGATATATTATTTATGCTATTGAAAACAAATACCGTAGAAACGATGACCAGAAAATGTGGATTCGAAAACATGCGTTCAAGTTGTGTTCTGTCAACACGAATTAATTAATAATTTACCAGATATCGAACAAAATTAATTTTTGATAATCTTGACATAGTAGCATTATTTGGCTTGTAATATAAGAGAAATGCATACCGATATATGTACAGTATTTGTCAATTAAATTATTGTATAATAATAACAGTTGGAGACTGAAGATTAATTATTTAGATAATAATAAAATTACGGTTTACAATAAGCTGTTTATGTTAAATCAACCGTTAACGTCAATCGATAATTTTTTTGGTCCAAGGACATTTTAACGATATTGTCCTTGCTAATTAAACTGTATTTATTATAATATCTTTATCACACAGCATTCGTCAATCATAATGTTCTAATAATATTTATATACAGTTGGAATTTAAATATTTAAAATTAAAATGTTATACAACATTGAATATATATATTTAATTTTTCATGTTAAACTTGAAACATGTAATAAACATTTATTAACATTCGAAAAAAAAAATTTAAAAATAAATAAAAATTTAAAATTGTATAAATGTCCAATACATAATTTAACATTAAATATTTGATAAATGTTCAATATCCATTGGTTGTTCAGTTTTAATCGTTAAATTAAATATTAGACATTAATGTAAGTATACTTATTCATTTGTTTTTAAATATTTTATTTCCAATGGTATATAAATATTGTTAGAATCGTTATGATTGACAAATGCTGTGTGGGTTTTAGATTATTTATTGCAATTAACCTACTATGAGTTATTTGTTATAGATATTCAAAAAAATTAATAAATGCAAACTTGTGACTAACCTCAACCTAATTTGGATAATAAACTGTTTATAAATGTCACAAGTTTTGCCATCTTCCCATGTAACTTCAATATTATATTATTTTTTTCTATGAAACACTATAAATATAGATGCATATTTTTTAGCTTTATTATATAATATACAATTATTATGATCACCTATCGAATGAATTACTAATTAAATTATTTTAAAATTAAATAATATACTATTGTTATAGTACATATTATAAAATTAAATAATAGTCGAAATAATAATGTTAATAAAATATTTCGATAATTGACCATATTTATGATGAATAATTAAGTACAGTAATGATTTTGACTTGTGATTTCTTTCCAAAATTAGTTGGATTAAGTTGGGACAGGACTTATCATCAACAGTTTTAATGGTAATAGTATATTATTTCAGAAATGGTATTTTTTATTTACCATACAACTTTTTCATTAGTTATTATCCATCTTAGGGTTATTGTTTTATCACATCAATATAATAAAAAATGGAGCTATAATCCATGATAGTTGAAAAACAAAACAAACCATATTTGACCAATCCTTTGACAAAAACTAACCTGACATGCTATGCCATCGAATGATAAACTCCGGGTACATTAACTATACCACAGATACAAAATAGCTGTGCTATTTCATAAATAATTAATTCTTATAATAAATTATTTAAGTTAAAAATATTTTTGACGCTACTATACACACTAAAATCACATACGATGAATATCATTCATTAGGATGATTATAAACTATAATGTTTCAAATTGTATGACGTGAATAAATATAAAATATCTAAATCAACAGTCTTATTAAAATGTTTACTACTTAAGCCATACCTATGATTCAATACAAATTAATAAAATGCCAGTAAAATTATATTCATAAATTAGAAAAATCATAGTATAAAACAATCAATAAAATATTCATGCATTTTAAACATGAAATTTTATTCAAACAGTCTAGTCGTAGGGTGCATAAATTAAAATTGTAACATAAGCAAGCAAAAATCAAAATTAAAAAAAAATGTTGCAATAATTTTTTCATTATTCATTAATATTCACAAAATATAAACCTTATTTTCAGAACAACCACAATCGTTCAAAAATCTTAAAACAAAGTTTTCAAGATAAAATTATTAGAAAAAAACAAGACATAGCAAATAAAATAGCAAGTTTAAGTTTTCTTTTCCTATAATTCTGATTACATCACCGATGAACAAAATAACATGTAAATGTTATTTTAATCTTTCAACCACCTAATTGGTATAATTATATTAAACATGACAGAACTAAATGCGCAAATTGCATTAAATTGGTGACAGTATTTTTGAACAAACTAACATTTTTACATAATTATATAAAACAAATTATTGAAAAATTATTGAACTAGTAACACACAACTGACGAAAAGTCTCCTCCAGATACAGTATTTTTTATAAGGCCCGGAAGCTAGGAACTACTCAACAAATAAAGCTAAGTAGCAGTCCACTTTTTATAAGATCCTCAAAACCCGCAGGTTCGAGTTTCTAATTCAAAGACTATGTATACCTATTAATACAAATTATAATTTTTCGTTTGACTATTAATTGAAAAATTATATCGACTTAGTTAATTAGTTTCAAGTAAATTATAAACTATAAAATCGTACACAATCGTATTATATATACGTATAATATTAACGAGAATATAAATATACATAATTTTAAACTAAAATTATATACAACAAAAATAACACAGAAAAAAAATTAATTTGATATTATTATCAAGCGAAAAAAAGGATTAGAATTTATTTAAAATGAAATCAATTATTATTCCTGTACGTATATATTTCGCAATAACTTAAATGACTTACCTATAATCTTACTCGTGTAAAACGTTCAATCAGAGCATAGCACACGCGACGACTGTTCACTACATAACAGTTGAATGGAACTCTGAACTTGGTAGTTGGCGGTTTGCTACACAGATACCGTGGCATCATACATTAAGAAACTGTTCCCACCTCTTTTTCGTCGCTGATTACACCTCGATTAGAAACTCATTAATTAACCAGCAATAAAGATAAGATAATGCATTTAACTGAATCAAGTTGCATGTTTCAATTATAATTATAAATATATATGCACAACTGCATATAATTGTTATAATTGTATATTAATGCGTACCTACAATATTCGTGATGCAGTATAAGTTCGAATATTAGTACCTACAACCCTAATTAAACTAGCAAAAAATTCAAGTTCAGCACATTCTCCTTGAACAATGCAATCTTCGGACTTTTTTTTATTAACCTCGATAATTTTTATTTATAATTACAAGTTATTTCGGGAACTATTATAGTCCTTTGTGTAACTAAGACTTTTTACCAAAGAAGTGTTAAATCATATCGAACAATACATAAAATGCAACTGTAATACATTTTAATATTTGTAATTATAATGGACTATGTACTCTAACATACACAATATATTAGAGGTCTAACTATGCATTTGTGTAGGTGGTACTATTTACTTTTCGAAGTGAGAAATGTATTCTTTATAACATTTTACTAGAACAATTGATATAATTTACCGGATTTAAGATGGAGCGAAATATCTCTTTTCCTTTTAGTATATTTTTAACAACAATTTTACAGCACAGTTACATTTTTACTTTGTTACATTCGTGGATTATGTGACTAAAAATAACATTAAACCATCCTTAGAAATTATATTTTATGTAAGTAATGATTTTATCGATTTTGGGCAATTTACGAATGATTAAACAATTATAATTATATACCTCGATCATCCGGATTTTTGGAAACAATTAAAAAATTCGCTACTTTAAAATTTTGAAAAATTTACAATTGTACATACTAATTAAATGTAATAATAATTTCTTGATTTACTCAAAATAGTATAAATATAATTTTTTCATACATATAATACAGTCATATTGTTACTATTAAAAAAAATTAATGCTTTTAATTAATTATGTAAAATGTATTCATGATATAAAAATATAAGTTCTTTTATCTGTATTAAGTATAATTTTAAAAATAAGGACCATCTCAAAATCTGGTTCAACGTTTTTAAATCCAATTCTAAATATAATATTAATTTAAAAATTAATTGTTCAAGTCAAATTTTAACGCAATGCAAAACACGACGTATAAACATAGTTATATAAATTAACTCATTCCATTGATATTATTGTTACCGTTTACAATCCCTTAAAAGATTTACAAACAGATAAAATATAGAGCTTTTTTTTTCAAAATCACTAAAAATCTATTCGATACTGTTTTGTTGTAAAATATGCATTAGGTTTTACTTTTATACTGAGAGTATGTAAATCAAATATTAAAAAGTTATACTTATTTATATTTTCTCCCTTCATGTTTAGTACTCATGAACTGCTACACTTTATACTTATTATTATATCCGTGTGATAAAAAGCTACAATATTCTCACATTATATTTTAATTTATATAACACAAGGTATTAAAACTAAGGCATCTTAAATTAAATGTTCGACTATATAATTAGCAAATATAAAGAATTCAAACAAAAAAGAATTTATGTAGTTCAAAATACGAGTATTTTCATAAAAATAATAAAAATATAATTAAAGCTGAGTCGCTAAGTGCAAATATATTTCTTTATAATTCATAATATTGTGTATCAGTCAATCAGAAGCGTATATGTATAGATAAATATAACCTATGTAAAAAAATCGAAAAATAAACAAAACTTCATGTTGAACACAGATTATTTAACAAAAATTACGTTTTTACTTTATAAATAAATTATTCGAGTTACTTATTTTTATTTTTATTTTATTATTATAAAATAATAAAAATATATGTAATAATATATATATATATATTATATATTTAATTTTAGAATAAATTTTCTTTTAAACTATTTTAACTTATATACATGCAACAGTTGAACATCTACTTAATGATTTATTTTTTGCATAAAAGTAATTTTTAATTAATTAATTAATTTTTTTATTTTAGTATTTACATTTTATATATTTATTTATTTTTAATATTAAATTTTTGCTTAAAGCAAAATAAATATTTAAGAATTATAACCAAAGATAACCTATGTATATGTATATCATATAATTTATCAATTAGTTTGTCTCGTATTAAATCAAATGATGTAATAAGCTTGTTTATAAGTATTGGTTTTTCCACAATAATTATGTTTGAACTCTGAATACGTTATCGGAGACACTCCGATGTCTGTCAAATAATTTCCAATTATGTTTTGATCAGATTTTATAGTTACGTATTAGGTTACAAAACCAATTCAATATAAAATCGTGTTACAACTGTTATGTGATTATAACAATAATATTGAAAATTATTGAAAAGTGTACACTTCTCATATGAACTATGGCGAAAGTATGAAATACATTTTGGTTCAAATAAAAAATTAGCGACGTAAAGACTACCGGAAACACCGGGTTTGTGTGCTACTCTGTACTACTACATTTTCAAGATATTAAACAAGTACTCTTTTGTAAAAATTACAATAAATTATAATATAAAGAAAAATAGACTGTATTTTTTACTATATTATTATTTTAAACCATCATTACGTTATTTTATTAATCTTTTTAAAATTCATAAATCAATCAAGATATTTTGTGTTTAAGTAAAAATTATAATCATGTGTATCCACTATTGCAAAGGTATAACAATATTATTGTCAACTTTAGTAGGTACTTCAATGATATTTAATGAAGTACCTTTTCAACAAAATTTGAGAGAAATTATTAAATTACTAAATGTTGACTTCCCGCACCCATTCCAATATTTGAAATTTAAAATTTAGATTATTATACTGTAAATTGCATAGTTGTAACTAATGTACAAATAATTTATAATATCAATAATAATACTAATTCATGGAATACTAAAATCGGATTTTATTGTTATTCATATAAAAACAAACAGAAAGTATGTTGATGTATGCTAAAAAAGGATCTAAACAATAATTACGATTAGGATCGATTCAGGAATTAGGTAATTCATTATATTGTTTACCTCGAATAATAATGACAAAAAACCTTGGAATAATTTAAATCTAGCTCAATATATTCTGGACATGCTTAGATGATCTGCAAAATAATCCAAACAACAATAGTCGTATAAAGGTCAACAAATAATCGAAGTATAAAATTGACTTATGATATTTGATCATTACATGAATTTTCTATTTTTATTACAAGAACGATGGTTAAGTACCCACTTAACAGGGAAATTATATCAATTTAAGAATTATTCCTGACATATATCTACTCTAGTTGTATAGTTATCATAAGTTTAGAATCTAGAAACCATTTACTATCACATATTTTATATTTTATCTACTTTTTCAATTTTTGAAATACTTTTGAATAAAATCTATTTATCTAATCTAATTGTCTAAAAATTAAATTAGATAGATTTTTAATAAACTGACCCTACATTTGTCAATTAGACCAAACTAGCTGTCCCAGACGACCATACATTCTTAATTTTTCAATTTTGATAGTAGCAAACATTTTCATTTAGGATATATATCTTTGCCAATTTTCTCTCGAGAGATAAAATCTTAATTTTCACTTAATACGCAAAGTTTTCTCATAATAGTAATTACACTGATATCACCATAATAGGCGCGAAAGTACGTCTCGAGTAAACTAAAGGTGTCAATGTCTAGTCCAATGGATTTCAAATTGAGATGACACGAATGAGTCAATAAATTAATAAAAAATAATAACACTTGCATGTATTTAAGTTATTTTAAAGTATTATTTACATTTCAGAGAATATTTAATAACTGAAACATTAAAAAATTTAACGTTTGAAATTTCAATTTGATAAACTTAAAATGTTAGTTAAAATTGTTAACTTTAAAAACATGAGAATAGGTCTGCCGCTTTCCGGTGACTATTTTATTTATATGAGAACAAAATACTTACCCCTTAAAATTCCGTTTCTAATATATTACCTTGATAATAGGTAGGTACTTTATAAAAATAAAATATTTTTCTACACTAAAGTAAAACATCTGTTTACTATTGTCCAGCAACTTCGTTCCATGCCTGATTATCTGTCCAGAGGATGTGTGGCTATAATATAATTTGAATACCTACATATATAATATTTTTACCATAAAAATACAAAAACATTAAGTTGTTATTTATAATGTTAAAATGTATCTCAATAAATTAATATGAAAATCAGCCACCGAACCTGGAAAAAAATTATAATGTTTTAATTATTCAATGAAATGTATAGGTTACACATATTTAAACACCAACTAAATGATATGAAATTTTTAAATAGGGACTAACCAGTGGCGCCGATCGTTATTTTTAGGTATTATGGATGCAATACGTAATTTAGTTGGGTGGTCCCGTGGTGGGTTAGGGTACACTATTACTATTATGTAAAAGTTATACCAATTTGGATACAAACTGTTTCAAAATTACAGTTATAGCTCAATATATTCAATATTTAATTCAGTGATATTCAGATTTTATTTGTATATAATACCATATGAAATATGTATCAGTCCCAATGGAAGTAACCACTTTGCACCATTATTTATTTTTTAAATACGATTTTTTGTTCTGTTGTTTTATATATTCAGACTAGGAATGTAATAGAAAAAAAATATTATGTATATATAAAATTCAGTTCATAAACTAATAGTTGAATAATTATTATTTCTAACGTACAGCGATCAAGTAGCTCGAATATTATGGTGTTATATGGTTATAGATCTTGTAAACCAAAGTAACTGTTCAATTATATAGTTACCTATTATGATAAAGAGTAAGGACCGATAATAAATCGACCCAATTTAGATCTACAAGACCTTTTAATTTGGCTTCATAAAAATTATAATACATAAATGTATTTTAAAAACATTTTTATTTTTCTTAAAAGTAAACTTTTATTTGGAT